CTAAAAAAAAAAACAGAAACCAGAAAAAGAAAATGAGCAAACCATAACCAAAGCGACAGAGAGTTGGGGGTCAGAGTGTAACAAAACAAAACAAAAAACGAATGCGAACAATGAGAGATATTTTTAAATGGAAAAACGTTCGTATTTAATCCTCACTATGTCCCATATGCACTCCGCGTACCTTTCTCACACATCCATCTATCTATCTATCTATCTATCTATCCATCCATCCCCGGCTATTCCATCTATTCGTCTGTCTGTCTCTTATGCGTTTCGGTGGTGGGCTTCTAACTAACCCGACCTTAGAATGTAGTTGTTGTAATTCATCACCTACAAATCAATCATTTTGACGAAGCAACTCACTAAAACCGAAAGAACGAAAGAAAAGAATCATAGAAGGAGGTGGGGGGAGGAGGGAGAACAACGAAATAAAAGGAATCGCACTGAGAGCGAGAACCGTATAAAATGCAGTTGCGAGTGCGAGCGGTATAACCAAACACAGACAATAGATCAATGCTTCCAATATCAAAGAAGTCGGCTTGACCTTTTGACGTGCGAGTGCATAGCCATAGCCATAGCCATAGCCATACCCAAACGCGAAGCGTGAGGAGCAGATTGTCGGTAGATGGAAGCCTGTCTGTCTCTCGGCTCAACTAATTGTCTCCCAATGGATCACTACGCCTCTCTCTCTTTCTTTCGCTCTCTCTGTCTCTGACAGTCTTTCAGGCGCATGAAAAATGTTTTCATTTCGTAGATTTATGTAGATATGGCCAAGGTGCATAAACAAGAGGTGAGATGCACCTCCAAGATGAGGCTCACGCAGCTATCTGTCTCTCCTGTGCTGCCCAACTTAAGAGCGTCTCTCCTGCTGTGTACCCACCCTGCATTGATATACCTTGCATATAACCATAAAGGTGCGGTGTAGGTGTAGTTCTCTGCTCTCTCTCTCTGTTGGCACTTAATTTGTTGTTGCTGTCTGCAGCATATTTCTTTCTTTCGGTGTTGGTGTGAGATTACGCATTTTAGTTCTCGTTCTCGCTTCAGACCTTTGCCTGATCTTTGGCTCGGCATTTGACGATCCTTTCAGCATTGGAATTCCTCTCTTGTCTCTTCGCTTGTCTTGTCTTGGCTTAGTTTACAATGCTCTTTTGATTAGGCCACGAAGGTGGGCCTCCGCTCCGTTCCGCTCCCCTGCCCTACCCTGTTGCTGTCCGTCGTACGTGATTGGTATTATTCATCACTTGTCCTTGGGTTGTCTCGCATATCCTACATATCTTTGGAATTTCTTTCATTTCGGCTCTGCGCTGCTTATCAGGCCAAGATTTGTTTAGGCAGAACCTTTTTCCCAATGTTTAATTTAAATTTTAAGTATCTTCAGGTAAATTCTTGTTTCATTTTTTTCCTGTTGCTAGGTAGATTCATCGATTTAGTTGCAGCAGGAAGTCGTAAAACATTTTTCCCATTTACTGGTTATACACATATTTTTTCTATGTGCAACTGAAATTTCTAATTGAATTTTATGAATTTATCTTTGGACGACGTTTGGCAGGACTTCCATCCAGAGAAAGTTTTCCAGTGCGGCCAGTGAGAGACCAAGAAGGGTTGAGGTCTTGGCTGGGGGGTTGGGGGTCAACAGTCAAAAACTAAAAACTTTTACGTTTTCTCCTCTTTGTAACAATGAATGCAGTCGATAAGTAGTGGCATAAGTACAATTTCATTCCACAAATACACACACCAACAAATATACAGACACGCAGCCATACTCGTATACGAGAAAGGAGAAACCGAAAACGAAATGAATCAGAATTTACAGCAACACCGACTATGCTGATTGTCTTTAAATGGTACAAGAGATGGCGAAAAATTATAATTTTAGTTGAATTTTAATCAAAATGTCTTAAGTTTCTCGTGCATTTGCTCAATGATAGATTCGAATCCCTGCAGTACAATATCCTTCTTAGAACTTTCACAGCTCCTCCTTGGAAGGGTATAATGAAATGTGCCCTCCCCCCCCGTCCAACCCATGGACTCGATGAGACTCAAAAACGAGACCGAAGCGACTCCAAGCCCAGCCCAAAGCACAGCTGTTAAGGAAGAACAAGGAGCAGACGAAGAGGAAGAAGCAAAAGTAGAATAAGAATAATAGAAAAGAAAAGGACAGCAGATGGTACAGGGGGGAGCTGCGAAAGGAAACGGAATGGTTGGGGTGGCATGGGATGGTCTCAAAATAGTCATTGTAATAAGAAAATTTTGATTTCATTTTTAGTATTTGTGTAAAATTTAATAACGCCGCACAAGATGGCTGACGAAGTCGACGTCGACTGAGAACTGAAAACAGTGGAATTGCATGAGAGAGGAGCGAGTGAGCGAGTGGAGTGAGAGCGAAAGCGAGAGAGGGATGGGTTGGGTTGAATTCGAAGGGTGTTCTGGGGGGTGGTGGTGGTGGTAACTAAAACGCTTAAAACACACAATCTCGTTTCGGGTTCGGTTGGGATTGGGATTGGGATTTCGGGGTTACGCTTAAACTCTAAGTACATTTTAACTTAACTGCCGGCTCTTTTTTTGTGTGCGTTGTTTGTGCTTCTTCTTCTTCTTCTTCTCCTTCTCCTCTTTGAGTTTTTTGTTAGTTCGTCGTCCCCCTGTGCGCCTGCATAGCGAAATGTAAGGCGAGAAGGCAAACCCCGATGATGATGACCATGATGATGATTATGGTTGGGTGGCGGTGGCAGGAACTCCGATTTTGCTTGTGAGCAAGAGGAAGAGGAAGGGCTGGCAGCAGTGACTTGGGTGGGGTGGGGGCTCGAATTGGCGGTGGTGGTTTGAGATGCTCTAACTTGTGCTTTTCTGTTGCTGAATGTGTATGTGTGTGTGTGTGTGTGCGTTCGCTTGAACGCAATTATAAATTTTTGGAATTGTTGTAATTTAGTTTTGTTTGTTTGCTAGTCTCTCTCCCCATTTCTCATACTCGCAGCAGTCCCTTTGCCATTTCTCTCTCTTTCTCTGGCTAGTAATGCTTAACGTTTGTCCATTGTTGTACCAGCTGTGACTGTAGTTGTGCGACATACGACAGACAGCGGGAATTGAATAAGCACTTTGATACCCATCGTGCAGATTGACATTCAGATGGATCATGAGGAGTGCAAGCTTCATTGGCTGCACATTTGTTTTCCCATGGAGTGCGGTGGTGGGGGAATTAGGCAGAGCCGACCCTTCTTTTCTCCTTTTCAAATCAAATAATTTTGAATACTCTTGCGTTCCATAATTACAATAGATATTCATATAATGACTGACTTGTAGTATTCTCCTGCATAAGCCGACCCCGCTTCAACGCCGTCACATGTACCCTTTCACACCCTATTCATAACGGGAATAAAAACTTTGCTTTCCTAACTGCGTTGTGGCTGCCGCTGTCGCTGCCTCTGCTTCAGTTGCTGTTCGCTGTTCGCTGGCGCTGTCGCTGCCTCTGCCGCTGCTGATTATTACGATAAAGCATAATGATTACATTTTTAGTAGTAGCTTTCCTGAAGGAGCAAGCAGGATGGCAAGTGAGAGGGAATATTGCTTTGTTATTGTTGTTCTGTAAATCGTAGAGTTTTTGAACTTGTTGTTGGGTTTTTGGATAGGAATTGAAATTGGGTTTGGGTTTGTGCTTAGGTTTGGGCAGCTTGTGATTACGGAGGGTTGCTGTTGCTCTTCTGTTCGGGCTGGCAAATGCGTCGTTCCAACAATTTTCAAATTCTCAGGGTTAGAGTTACTAGATGAAGTACCTAAAAGGGTAGAGAGAAAGAAAGAGAGAGCAAATAAGAGAGTTTTAGAGGAATTGGCTCTTGCACTTGATTAATTGCGATTTATGCGCCGCTGCTGCTTCTGCTGCTGCTGCTGCGGCTTATGTTCCATGCGATATGGAACTTTTGTGTGTAATTATGGATGGGTTATGGGTGTGGGTATGGGTGGTATGGGCTGAATGGATTGGATTGGATGTGGATGGGTTGCCCGGAGAATAATAAGTAACTGTAATAACGGTCGTTGACATGAGGGTTTCCTGCATTCGTTCGTTCGTTCGTTCGTTTGTTCGTTTGTTCCTTTGCTGCTTAATGTTTTTTGAAATATGAGCAATAGGGATACAGTGAAGGACGATTTGTTGAAGGGTACTGATTATGTAAGATATGCAATTAAGAAGAGCAGGAGGGGTACGCAGCAGGATCATGAGAAACTCACAAGCTGCCTACGAAGCTGCCAGCTGCAGTTGTAAAACGAATATCAGTAAGCAGAGAAAGCAGTGGGATATGGCTAAAGGAAGCTGTGCATGCGTTGGCCAGGGCTACAGGAAGCAGTGCATTCGTGTCTTGTGGGAAGAGAAAACCGTGAATGAGAGGAATATTTTTGCCTTTTTGTTTTGCTTGGCTCATTTGGCAGGCACACCGCACACGACACACACACCAGTAGCCATGCACTCCCACACGGCGTCTGCTGGAAGAGAGAGAGAGAACGCAAGAAAGAGAGCAGCAGGCAGCAAGGAGAACAGAACAGAACCGTGCTGGCAGCCAGCCCAAAGCCATGGAATGGAGCGCAAAATACGTTATATTACAATTGCGGCTATTGTCATTACTTTTGGCCCACATTCAAAGCGGTACCACACACACACACACGCACACATAGTAATAGAGAAGGAGAGCGAAACGAAAGAGAAGCAGCACAGAGCCAAAGAGCAGAAGCAGCCTCATAATTCATAGCCGAACTCATAGCCAAACTTCGGGTGTGCATTGAACACGAGCGCTGTGTGTGCTGCCGAACGCTCTCGTCGGCTTTCGTTGTTGCTCGCTTTGCTGGGTGTCTCTCTATGTGTGTGCGCTCTCATCGGCATTCGGTGCCGCCGCTGTGTTTCTGTATGTAGTGTGTTTGTAATTGATTTTATTAGTTTTGGGTTTTTGTTGTGTGTTTGCTGCTGTCGACGCTGACGCTGGCAGCGCTGATGAATTTAAAAAAATTTTGAATTGCCCGCCCTTAGTCATTGACTAAACGTGCAGCAGTGCGAACGCGGCAAGCGGCATAAAGTTCCAGTGTCTACCCGTGTCTCGGTGTCACCACCACCGCCAACGTTCTCCGATCCGGTACTTTGATTCTATTCCTCCTAAATCGCCAAACATATCCCTGATATATCTGCCACATGCATCAGATATATAGAGAGTTCTCGGCACGCGACAAATAAACGATTTTTGAGTGCTTATACAACAAATAAACCAAACGCAAAACGAAAAGAATAAACGCTAAAGCAAAATTCTAGCTGCAACAATTTGTATAATGTGCCACATTGATAAATAACTAATTAATAACTTTCTTGGGATTAACAACAAACCAGAGAGAGAGAGAGATCCGCGATAACTCTTTACTCAGGATAAAACGGAGAGAGCAACGGCCGAAGGATTTAACCCACAAAACACCAGCAAAATGGTAATTACTTCTCGCAGTCTAGGGAATATATTCCCATATATAAAACCAAATATGAATCAGCCAGAACGAGCCAATTTCTATTTTATTAGCCGAGTTTTAAGTGTGTGTTTGTGTTTGTGTCTCTGGCGCTCCTTAGTCTTAGTCATTAGCCGCAAAGCAAGTGCCGCTCCCCCGCTAGTATCTCTGTCGTTTGGGTGATTTAGACACAGATAAAGATTTGTTCCATATGTCACGCACGGAACTGCAGAGCGCTACAGCGACATCTTGTACATATAAATTCATCTTTTATCTGTTTAATTTTGTGCTCAATAATCATTGATCATCATCGCTAATTTCTATAATTTCCGGTGTCGCAGCACCACAAAAGGCGACTGCGATTCGAACAGAATCCATAAAGCCATTACCCAGTAAATACATTTAATAACGTACAAACTTCGAATGACGTCGCCCGAACACTTCCCGTTTCCAAAGCCTAGAGAATGTGGAGAATATTTCGTATGTATTACGTATTTGTACGATCTGCGCTATCGTCGAGCGGATGTTGGGCTCTAAGCCCAATCGGAATCCTAAAGAGTGCCCTGGAAATGCCCTGGAATCAAAGTTTGAATTGTGGGAATTTCCAATAACTATTAAGCGGATCAGCGGAGCTCCTAGATGTTTAATGTGTAGCTTTAGTCATTGAAAATGTTTATTTATTAGCCATAAAACAGCAAAGAACTCTGTTCTAATGCCCATTATCAGAAGATCCTGGCTCTGCCTGGAACGTGCATCCTTATATCATCCTTAAAAAAAACCCTTTGGCGCTCTCTCTCTCTTTTCTGTCAACACTATTTCCCGCACACAAATTTTGGCAAATTTTCTCTATATAATCGCCATAAATGCAAAATACCGACAGGCCAAAGAAATAGTGAAGAACAATTTTTGGTTTTTGCCAGCTAAATATGTATTCGAAAAAGTGTTTGGCATCTGTGTGTTGGGAGATTTTGTGGATCTATTCTGTGAGTATCGTTGGGGTATACAAAATACACTTTTTGGCACATTAAGAACACCGCAAAATGCGAAGAGTCAGCCAAATATGAAATTATGAGTGCGATTATGATTATGATTATGATGATGATGTTGTTATAATTAGAGAACAACGAAAGCGAAAAACGATTCGTAATTATTCAAAAATTGACTTGAAGCAGTCGTCGTCGTGGTCGTTGGTGCTGGCTGCTGGCTGCTGGTTAGACTTGGGGCAGCTGCCGTACAGATCGCATATAGATTTTAGTTATGGTCTTAGTTTCGTGTGTGCGCTTCCATTGCAGCTATTTTTAAGCACACACACACTTGGACACACGAATTACACTTCAAGTGCTTAATCATGGCCCGAACACACCGAGCGTCGAAACTTTTACACAAATCATATTCCCCCCACCAATACATAAATCCCACTCCCTCCTGGGCAGCTCTTCCTCCGACTTCTTCTTCTCCTCCTCCTCCTGCTGCTGCCCCATTCAGGGCACACGCCTCTTGCAACTGTTCTTTCGTTTATTTCTTTCATTTTCCATTGAAAAACCAAAAGCGAGAATGTGGACGATATGTTTCCACTCAAAATGTTCGGTTCCGTTCGGTTCTAGGGAGGAGGGGAGGAGCTGCCCACACACACACACACACACACATGCAGACTCTGTCGATAATCGTGGAATACATTATTATTATTATTAGTATTTGGGTGGGGAACACACACATAAATGGCCAAAAAAAAGTGCCTGTAATGAGCATTGCTCGATACGAAATTACTTGCTTACATATTTCAGGCATGCTTCACGAGCAAATTGCCAAATTAAAACGATTCCAAATATAATGAATGTCTGGGCAATGTCAGTGTGGGGTGTTTGTTCTATGTGTACTCTAAGATGTGTAACAGATGATTGAGGGATCGAGGAATTGGTAATGCCTTTGTTCTAGCTAACGGCAAGTCTTCACCAAACCAAACTGAAACTTTTATGCTCAACAACTGAGAGTCCTTGAAGGGTTTCTAACCTTCTTGAATCAATTGGCTTAAACCCTGACATTGCTCTCTCTCTTACATATTCAAGCCACACACTGACAGCTCCTGCTGCTGCTCCTCCCTGTCCTGCGCTCTGCCTGTCCATCGAAATGGCAATTATTTGAATTTATTTTTAATGTTTCAATAGACATGTGTGTGTGTGTTTCCTCTAATTTTTAGCATCTGGAATGGGATTTTGATCTCTGTTTCCATGTGTCTGCTCGGTTGACTACTTAATTTCCAAGTGCCATAAAAATTTCGATTTGGAATTTCAAATTGAAACGTCTCCCACTTCCCCCTCTTTGTATGTATGTCCAAAAACAGTTGAAACGCATTTGGTGTTGAAAATATGTTGGATTATTTATCGCTTCAAGTGCTTATAAATATTTAAAAAGCTTCTCAAAATGAAATAAACAATTAGTTTATTTATTGACACTTGATTTGAGATTGGTGGGCGGGGGGGTTGTCCCTTAAAGTGCTGCCTGCTGAAAGGCAAAACATTATTGAGATTTCTTTTCCCCTTTCCTCAGACATTTCCCGCATCGAATGTCGAATGCAAATTCGTTCCATCACTCATAAGCTCTCACGCGCGCATAGCTTTTCCCCCCGTAAAGGAAAATTAATGCAAGTGTAGGGAAAAAGTGGCCCCGCCACAAACAATGCTTGTCCAGCTGTCCATCAGTCAGACAGTCAGTCCGTCAGTCTGTGCTTCCTTCAAGCCCCCGTCCACAGTTCAGGTTGAGTCACCGCACACACGTCTCTCATCTATGGCCATCCTGGACGCTGCAACAGAGATGAGAGCGTGAGTCGGGCTGGAGGAACTTACAAAAGAATTTTGTATTAAAGCCAAGAGTTTATTTAGATTTAAAGCAAAACTTGAGCCGAAAATCTGCAAAGATTCCCTTTTATAACAACTTCCATTTAAATTCTATCAAAAATGACAACTTTGAGTGCGACTTTAAAGCTTTCTGCCCATTCATCGCTTGGCCTCACGCGACCATCGCTGGCACAGCACTCACGCGGCAGCGGCACACTCATCGAGGAGTGTGTGTTTCGTGGGGACTCTCTTTTGAGTTTTAATCCCCATTGGCCCTGGTTGCCCACACAATAAACTCTGACAATCAATCAATGCACGTGTTTGAATATTTTTTGATATTTGCCGCTGATGGGAGAATTTTTGACAAATCAGTCAGCCAAGGGGGTGGGGGGCTAGAGCTTAGTTTTTTGGCTAGCAAAGGACAAGGCATGGCATATGGAAAAATATAAATTTGTACACACTCGTGGGTCTTGTTTGAGGCGTCACCCCGAAAGTTGTTCAATTAAAGGCGATTTAAATGTATAGAAGTTGCTCCAACGAGCTAAACTGAGACCAAGACAGAGAGAGAGAGAGAAAGAGAGAGAGATACATATACGAACCAAGTGGAATGTCTTAATTAATTTTAATTATTTTCAATGGGCATCGACTATGAAACACGAAGAAAGGAACGGCAGCGGCAGCGGCAGCGGCGATAAGAGCAGCAATTAAGTAACGAATTAATAGCAATCGACTTATAAATAAATACTTATGATGGTACCCACAGGCACCGCTTAGGGGTAACATGACAATTGGTTGCGCCGCTTAACCCGCTCTCCCAAACCCGAACCCGAATCCGAACCCGAACCCCAAGCCAACCGAATCGTCGCCCTCTTTTTCTGGCAATTTTCGGGCGCTAAAGTTTTCACGCCACCCAAAAGTGTTGGCTGCCTGGCTTGCATTTTCCCAACTATTAGGAGTTTTACCATATGCCCAAAATGCGGGTACCGGGCTCGCATTAATTTATTTGTCTGCAACATGCAAACCAATTGACAATCAAACGCAATTAGTCACAATAAAACGTGAAATGGAAACGCATTTTGCTGCTCAACCAAAAAAAGAAACACACAAAAAGAAACAGAATACAAATGAAGAATTTCTATATGTGATGAGATCCAGATACGGGATCTGGGGATTGCCTTGAAATGTTTCCTTTTGTTCATAAATTATGATCACAGTACAAGAGAAAGATAAATCATCATTTGCCTCAGGTCAAGGTGAACTTATTTCACCACAGGGCAATCTCTCCATCGCTATTCCTTTCTAGCGCTTGTCTTCCCGAGCGTGGTGAATAAGTTATTGGCGTAGAACGTCACCTTGTTAGTAAATTCACCTTGGGCGCAGGTAGCACGTTGTCGTCGCCAGCGAGGAAGAAAAATTGAAGAATTGAGAGAGCGCAACGTTGAGTTTTGCTGAAGCAAATCAAAGTGTTTTTGGGCTTAACTTGAGGCAATTAATCATTCAATAATGTTCAGGGACAAGCGCGCGACAAAACAGTGGAAGATGCTCTCTCTCCCTCTGCTACTCTCTCTTTGAAGTAAAGATGCGCTCTCTTTGCAAAATTTATCTCCACTCTCTCTTTAAAGTCAATCTGAATTCTAATCTAACTTAACGCAAATTTCAACCCTAAAGCCATTGGCTACCATTCGCATATGGCAGGAATTTGGACTTGGCCTACTTAGCGTTGGCTTCCCATGGCTTGCCCCTTTTCAGCGCTTCACAAAATTAATAGGAATTCTTGCCTTATACCTAGATTAGCAATATTTGATAAGTATTGTATGGGTGATGGGCAGATCCAGCCATTTGTTAGTGGTGCAGAAAAAAAAGAGCAATGCCAGGAGAGACACTGCAAAAAAGGGGTTGCTGTTGCTGTTGCTGTTGCTGTTGCTTGGGTTGCATCATCCTCGTCATCGTCGGTCATAATGATCTTCATTGTCGTTTGCCGTTTGTGTGTGGTTGTTGTTGGGTTTGTTCAGCATTTCGCATGGCGTGCACTTAATAAAATAGGATTAACATTTTATAGTGAACGTCTGTGCCCGGTCTCCACTTTTGCGCCTGTGTGTGTGTGTGTGTGAGTGTATTCCCTGGTTCCTTTTGTAAATTTCAACAACTGCG